GCTTGTCTCGGCCTCCCAAAGTGCTGGGATTACAGGCTTGAGCCACTGCGCCAGGCCCAAGCACAAGATTTTTATGCAAGACTTTCAACATTGTTTTGGTTGTATAGTCACAATGTTGTAAGAAGAAAGCTTTTCCCCTAAAAAAATTCTTTCTGCCATACACTACATAACTGAAGGTGTCATCTAAGAATGCCATCTGAGATCATTTCTTACCTGGTAATGAACCCTCACATTTTCCCACCAAAAAATTCTTTAAATCATCTATAATACACATGGTAAGATTTTCATATCTCAATTCAAATAAAATAAAAAAGAGCCAAGAGCAACAGCATTTCCATCTCAGAAACATAAAGAAGAACTTACCACGTGAACACCTGGGACATGCTTAGATGAACGCTTCCGCGCCAGGTTCTCACTGTGATCTAGGAAACACAGAGTAACTGTCAGCATGTTGGTTCCACAGAAGGAATCCTTTAAGCAGCCTTGGGTGCTGGGGACAGGGGGAGGGGGATGGCATGTGTAAAGGAGGTGGGTTAAGGGCAGAAACTTGGCTGCCACTGGGACACCCTCCTTGGTGATGAGGGAAGGCAAATGAGACCATCAGGAAAGCCACAGAAGTCAGGGCCTGGTTCTCTGGCTAAGCCACCTCACCACTGTGAAATAGGCAGTGTTCACACAGGGCAGCACACAGATGCACTGCTGATTCCATGACAGTGTCCCATCACCCCCTTGTGCATTTTGAGGCCTGGTAAATTTTCTTTTTTTGTTGTTGAAATGTTATAATGTCATTTATCTTTCCTGGATCTACATATGCTCCTCCTGCACTTATCATCCATTTTATTGGCTTTAAAATCAATATTGTGGCCAAAATACATCATATTTATTATTTTAATGATCAAGTGCGCACTTCAGGGGCATTAGAGACATTCACAATTCTGTGAAGTAAACTAAGCATAATCCAAATCCAGATGTCTTACTTTCCACCTTAGGAAACGAGAGAAAAAAGTGTAGTGTAATGTAAACAAGGCAACCCCCATTCCCCAAAACACAGCAATATTTGCAGAAATCAATGTAATAGAAATAATAAACAAAGAAACTCAACAATACCAAAAGCTGCTTCTTAGAAAAGATCAATAGAATTGGTAAACCTCCAGCCAGGCTAATCACAAAGAAAAGATAGAAGACATGATGTACAAATAATATGAATAGAAGAGGAATTATCCCTGCTTATCCCATGAACATTAAGAAAATAATAACAGAATACTTTCTTTTTTTTTTTTTTTTGAGACAGAGTCTCACTCTGTCGCCTAGGCTAGAGTGCAGTGGTGTGATCTTGGCTCACTGTGAGCTCCGCCTCCTGGGTTCACACCATTTTCCTGCCTCAGCCTCCCAAGTAGCTGGGACTACAGGTGCCCGCCACCATGCCTGGCTATTTTTTTTGTATTTTTAGTAGAGATGGGGTTTCACCGTGTTAGCCAGGATGGTCTCGATCTCCTGACCTCATGATCCACCCG